TTAGAGGAGCTTCAGGCTCTGCACGCGGACAGCTAGACCCTCCCTGTGCAGAGAGCAGGCATCACAGGCGAAGGCACTGTTAACTGCTCACGCACCCCGCCTGTCCTGAGTCGCCGCTGCAGAGGTGTCAGCATCTTCTTCCTGGGCCTGTGAACCTAGACACGAGTGGGTTGCAGTTTCCCGGACAAGGAAGGTTGCAGGGAGTGCTCACTGTGTGCCTTTGTACACAGGATCTGTGTCGGTGTCTGTGTTTAATTTCTTTCATCTCCGCTTGATTACATGGCTCTGTAGTCTCCCCTCTGTACGCTGTGAGTTGCTAAGGAAATGCCCCCAGACTGGCTCCCAGAGGGCGTGAAGAGGGACAGGTCAGGAGAGGGGAAAGGCTGTTGAGTCGTCTCCACGTGTCTGAGTCACTTCCCTCCTCGCTGAGCTGCGGTACCTAACACGAGTTTCAGCAGAGAGGTGGATGTTGGCTTGTGTTTTTAGTGCGTAGGCACCCATGTCCGTGTCCCACAGGCACGGTGAGGGCCTGGGTGGAGGAAGGCCGCTAACACCGTGCTGCTCCGGAGACAGATGGTCTCTGCAGCCAGGCCTCGCCCCTCACAGCGGGTCAGCCGCGTCGGCCTGCGGTCTAGGCACCTTCCTTCCGCAGGCTCTGCCACTGAGTACGTGAGGCTTTGGGGGACACTAGTCTCACCTGTAATACCATTTTCACTTTTGTTCGCATTTGTCAACATATGAAGGAGGTGCTTAATGAATATCAGTTATTATAGTGCTGAATTTCTGGTATCTTGGTTGTGATTGTGAATGGAAGTGCCTAGGCGTGGCATAGTGTGCACACACATGCATGCACATGTTCTGACATCCTCCCGTGTTTTGTGTGCCTCTTCCAGGTGGAGGTGGAGGCAGCGTCCCTGGGATTGAGAGGATGGGCCCTGGCATTGACCGTATTGGGGGTGCCGGCATGGAGCGCATGGGCGCAGGCCTGGGCCACGGCATGGATCGTGTGGGCTCTGAGATTGAGCGCATGGGCCTGGTCATGGACCGCATGGGCTCTGTTGAGCGCATGGGCTCTGGCATCGAGCGCATGGGCCCATTGGGCCTCGACCACATGGCCTCCAGCATTGAGCGAATGGGCCAGACCATGGAGCGGATAGGCTCTGGTGTCGACCGCATGGGCGCCGGCATGGGTTTTGGCCTGGAGCGCATGGCCGCACCCATCGACCGTGTGGGCCAAACCATTGAGCGCATGGGCTCTGGTGTGGAGCGTATGGGCCCTGCCATCGAGCGCATGGGCCTGAGCATGGAGCGCATGGTGCCCGCAGGCATGGGGGCCGGCCTGGAGCGCATGGGCCCCGTGATGGATCGCATGGCCACCGGCCTGGAGCGGATGGGCGCCAACAACCTGGAGCGCATGGGCCTCGAGAGGATGGGCGCCAACAGCCTGGAGCGCATGGGCCTGGAGCGCATGGGCGCCAACAGCCTGGAGCGCATGGGCCCCGCCATGGGCCCGGCCCTGGGCGCTGGAATCGAGCGCATGGGCCTGGCCATGGGTGGCGGTGGTGGTGCCAGCTTTGACCGCGCCATCGAGATGGAACGTGGAAACTTTGGAGGAAGCTTCGCAGGTTCCTTTGGTGGAGCTGGAGGCCATGCTCCTGGGGTGGCCAGGAAGGCCTGCCAGATCTTTGTGAGAAATGTAAGTGACTCCTCAGGAACTCCTTGGCGGTGTTAGGCACAGCGGAGGTGTGGTGGACTGAGTGGTGGTAGGCAGCGGGGTGAGCACACCTATGCCCCGTCCCCAGAGTCCGCTGCTGGAGATGAGGGGGAAGCTGAGGGTAGAGAAGGAGCAGTGATCTGCACTTACCGGCTTCTCCCCTGCGGCGGACGGAGCCGCAGACTAAGCTGGCTCTGGTTTCCCATCCCTTGGCTTAAGCACCTGAGTCTTGGCCTGGTGATTGAAGCAGCGCGCCTGTAACCGAGTTGTCTGTAACAGCCAATCCTCCTTAGCCACTGCAGTCCTGGGCTGCCTGTCCAGCCCCACATCCCATGTGTTTTGCTCTCTGTGAACACGCTAGAGAGCAGACCAGAGGCAGATCCACAGCAAGGGAGCTTCCAAGCCCATTGCAGATAGATGCTTCCCATTAGGCCAGTTTCCTTATTGGGGAGGGCAGCCGGCTGCGCTGCGTGGTAAGTGGTGTGTGTGTGATACTGGGAATCTACCCCAGGGTTTCATGCACACCAGCCGAGATTTCCACACGCGCCACATCCCTGCCCCCAAGGATTTCCTATGGATGGCTGTGATGTTTGTGCCTTAGCATTTGCTGGAGTTGTACATCAGTGTACCTTTTTTTCCCCTCAGCTCCCTTTTGATTTTACATGGAAGATGCTAAAGGACAAATTCAACGAATGCGGTAAGTGTCAGGCTGTGTAGGTGCTTCCTGTGTTGTGGCTCCCCGGTGCTGTTGAGTCGAGCAGCAGAGCTTCCAAGTCTTCGTAGCCACTGTCTGTCAGCTCTAGAGGACCAGTGGGCCTTGCCATTGCTCTGCTTCTGCGGATGCTTGGGCAGGTGTTGGGGCCGAGTATGTGTCAGACATTTTGTGCCTGCATTCTCATTTCCTCCTGAGCGTCCCTTTTTTTCTTCTAGGGTTTTGGAGAGGAGGTAATGCTGACCCCTTCGATAGATGAGTCAGGCAAAGGCACCATCCTCAGGTCACGCAGCTTCTAAGATACAAAACTAAATACATCCCAGGCAAGGTTGCTGTCTCCACAGCACAGCACAGCTGGGTCGGTCCCACAGAGCAGTCATGCGCCCGACAGGTGCCCTGGGTGACTTCGCAGGGTCTGCCGGGGACAGTGGCTCGGGTGGCCCCTGGTGGTGTTTCCTGGCACTCCAGGCACCTCTTCTTTGGTTCTCTTTATGGCCAAAAATCTCCCTCCTTGCCTGCCGTGGAGAGCTATCACCCGCCACCCCGAGCCCCTGTCCCTTCCAGTTCCATCAGCCCCAAGCTTGAGGCCTGTGGCTACAGCTCAGGGCCACCTTGCTCTCCCTTCCCGTGAGACTCGCAGTTTACTGTCCCGCCGCGTCCTCCCCAGGTCCCCTGCAGGCATGGGCTGCACCAAAGCTGCCTTCTTCCTGGTCCTTCCCTCTCCCGGATCTGCAACTTTCGCATCATGGTAGAGAGTTGGAAAGGTCCGATTGGTTCAAGCCACCCTTCTGAGAAAGTCCAGATTGAAGGGGCCCTAAGGACGTGACCTCTGCCCCTTTACTGGACCTGGGCTCCACGTGCCCCGGTGGTACTGTCGCTGGCAGGACTGTGTTCAGGTGGCGCTCTGCTTGAGGTCCCCACAGCATCACTGAGGATCCCTGGTGTCGTCTGCACCCTGGACAGTCAGTGGCTGTGGAGTTGTGGGTCCCTAGCACCAGCTGCTCTGTCAAGGCCTCGGCTCTTGCTTGGCCTCTGCTCCTGCCCCTTCGGCCCCCTCGCACAGTGCCTGACACATACCTGGGTGCTTCACTGGTGGACGTGTGCCGGCCACCCGCTGCCGTCTTGGCTGACACTGAACAGTACAGGAGTGTCTCCCGCATTGGCGGTGGTTTTGTGACTGGGGTAGTGATGTGTGGAAAGTGAAGCCTGTATAATTCGCTTGTACAGTTGGCTTCACACACCCCTTCTTTTCGGAAAGATCAGCCTTGAGGCCACCAGAATGGTGTGCAGAAAAGCTCTCTGAGAGCCTTCCTGCTAGCAGAGCAATGGCAACACGGCCGAGGGCGTAGTCGCCAGCTCCGGCCGCACCGCGGTGTTCGGAGCCTTCGCGCTCCGTGTGTGAGGGCTGCTCTCCTTTTTGACTCTGTCACGAAATCCAACAGGTGATCGGCACTGAGTGGAGGCAGGCCGAGGCTGAGCTCTGGGTTTACCTGACGCGTTGGTCTCTTCTTCCCTCCCTGTGCCAGGCCATGTGCTGTACGCCGACATCAAGATGGAGAACGGGAAGTCCAAGGGGTGCGGTGTGGTTAAGTTTGAGTCTCCAGAGGTGGCTGAGCGAGCCTGCCGGATGATGAATGGCATGAAGCTGAGTGGCCGAGAGATTGATGTTCGGATCGATAGAAATGCTTAAGCAGTTGCCTTTTTTAAACATCAATACCAGACCTCTGAATTTGTATTTTTTCTTGTTAACCATTTTAATTTGTTGGCTGGATGTATAAAGATGTTTAAAAAATTCAGTTGCTTTTTGGGGTAATTTGAATTACTTTTTTAATGACTGGGGTTCCGTTGGACTGTTTGCATTGAGATTGCAATGTGCGCAGTTTTTTTTGTAGTTGTGGCATCTTGTTGACATCGAATATGACTTTGATAATAAATACCAGTTCCTGAAAGTTGCTCGCTTCTGCGTGTGTGTTGGGGTGGGGGGGCACCTGAGCGTGTGGGAGCAGGAGCCCCTCGGGCTTCCTTGCCTTCCTGCCCCACACTCGGGGTCTTTCCCGCTGTGGCTTGTCCGCGGGCCCTGGGGTAGAAGGCAAGGGCCCCGCCACCTCGGGACAGCCCTTGGGTGGAAACCTCGTTTACTCCCAGCACTGAGCACGGGGTGCGCGCTGTGTAGAGCAGTGCCAGACGCTCTCCTGTCTCCCCCTTGGGACCTTTTCTGTAGGGCACAGACACTGTCAGGCTTATCCCCAGCCGGGCTCCCCCTGAACAGACGGAGGAGCCGTGTGGCAGTTCTGAGCAGCTTCAGGCCCGTCAGGTGTGGAGGCTGACCCAGGTCCCTGGGCTCCTTCACAGTCCGAGTCCCAGTGCCACTGGGCGGGCAGCTTCCAAGAGGCTATGGCTGCCGCCCGTCCTGTGTGCAGGGGCGGCCAGGTGTGAGGTGCACCTGCTCCCCAGCCCCTCCACGCTGGCTTTTCTCCCTTGCTTTCATAACTGCCGGGGGAGACCTTGGAACTGGAGCAGGGGCACAGAGACAGCCCCGTGTGTGCCCGTCGGGAGAGAAGAAAGACAAGAGGCTTGCTTTCAAGAGGTTTATGGGGTCTCACACGTGCCGGGCAGCTGTGGGCTGCAGGGCTGCGGGCTAGCAGCGGGCGGGCTCTCGTGGTCCTTACTCTCCCCGGGGAAATGGTTGCTCCTCCAGAGGATCTGTGAGGGGAGGGTGACTGGCAGTGACTCCACCACAGGCACGGTGGGGAGCAGCCGCTGGGAGTCACTGTGGTCCCTTCCAGTTGGGCCTCGGCGTCTACGTACCCCAGAAGCCGACGTCGTCATACACCTCCGTTTCCCTAGCGGAAGGCAAGCACAGTGGGGTCAGCAGGGGGCACCTGGCGCGCCTCCCTCCCCCACCCGGCAGGGCCGGCACTCACAGGGGCAGGAGCGCCATTCTGGGCACGTAGCCGTCTGCAGAGGGAGGAAGCAGCACGGTGGGTCCTCCGTCCCGGGGGTGCGCCCGCCCCCGGGCTTCAGGCCAGGCTTACGCACACTTGCCCTTGGGGTCCCGGCACAGCATCTCCTCCTTGCTGGTGTACTCGATGACCTCCAGGATCTCTCCGCGCCGGATCCCCAGGTGCTTGCCGCCCCCGCGACGGGTCTTGGCGTTGGGGTCGATCATCATCTTCGTGTGAACCACGATCTCCCCCTCAAACTGGGGCAGGAGGACAGATGTTAGGGCTTTTCTCGGGGCTTCACCGTGGACACTCCGCTGCCTTCTGGGACGGGACTGGCATGTCCAACCTTGAACTTCTTCCGGAACTCCCTCTCTGCCTTCTCCGCCTTCCGCATCTGCTTCAGCACCTTCGGGTCCACGGATGGCACCTGCTGTGGCTGAGGGGTCTTCTCCTTCCTGATCCCCCTAGGAATTGGGGGGACTTAGCAGTGTCTGGGGTCTACCTTCCACAGTTCCTGTGAGCTCAGCACCCCCTTGTTCCCCCACAGTGGCCTGTGGTACCTGAGTTCTGGATCTGCTGGTGGTTTGCTGGCGGCGTGCTGGGTGGACGGCACTTCTGAGGACAGGCAGGCCTCGAGTCAGGGCAGGGACCCTGCTCAGCTGCTTCACCCTAGTGACTCTTGGAGCGAGCCTCCCTGCACCAACGTGAACCTAGCCAGGTTCCCTGCGCCCCGCCTGCCGCCCGCCCGGTCCTCGCCTCCTGGGCAGGGCCTCCTCGCTCCAGTGGGCCGCCTTCGTTTCCTTAACTTGCGCGGCCCTCACAGCCACTTCATGTTGGTAGGTGCCGCTGTCTTTCCCAGCTTACTGGCGAGGAAAGAAGGGCTCAGAGAAGTGGAGCGGCCCGTCCAGCCCATCCAGGTAGTGGTGGAGCCAGGGTTTCATCTGTACGCTTTGGAGACCATTTATTTCACGTCTGCGTTTTAAACGCTGGTTGGGGTTTAGGAGATTTGGGTCAAAAAGAAAGGCAAAGGCAAGCATTCCCCGGAGGCGAGCAAAGCCTGCCTCTGAGAAGGGGCTTCCCTGCAGGGAGGAGGGATCCCTGGCTGCTAATGAGGCTGGAGCGGGGGTGGGGAGGGGTGTCTCAGGGTGAGGGCAGCCTGAGTCACTTCCTGCTGGCCAAGGGTTTGACTTGGCAGGAGCCGCCGGAACCCTGGGGGAGTGAAGGGCCTGAGCCTGAGCCCCGCCTGGCCTCTGGATGGCCTGAAGCGTCACTGGACGCCGGGCTGCCCTGGCTGTGGCAGCACACTGCAGGAGCAAGCCGGGGCCCTGCTGGTAGCTGCCTTCCTCACAAGCTTTCCCGGCCCTGCAGCCCTGCCAGAGGCTGGGCCCCGCCCCCGCCAGAGGCTGTACCAGCTGTGCAGCGGAGCTGGCCCTGCGCCAAGGGAGGCCCAGCCCATCCTGCCAGTGGGTCCCTAACCCTAACCCCACGCGCAGCCCCCAGACCCAGGCCGCAGAGCCGCGCTGCAGCGGAAGCAGCAGGCGCCCTGCCAGGAAGCCGTGTGCCAAGGAGGTGGTGCAAGCAGCCCCTGGGGGGGATGGCCCAGAAGCAGGGGGGCCAGGCAGGGGTGGGGACAGCAATCCTGTTCAGGACCTCTGGGGCTGGTGGGGGGAGAGCAGGAGCCCCTAAAGGCCACACCCACTCCCAGGAGCCCTTCCAGGAAGCGGGGCGCCACCTGGGAGAAGGGGGCCCAGCGGGAGCCCCAGCCCCTGCGGAATGAGTGACACTGCCCAGGCGGGAGGGTGGGGCGGGGCTGCAGGGCAGTGAGGGCTTTCAGGCCGGCCCCAGCCCACCATGGAGCCAGTCTGGGGTGCAGGCCTGCTGGATCCTCCCCGTGCTCCGGGGGCAGAGACAGGGAGGAGGAAGACGAGGGTCCTCCTTTTCCCGCCCCTGCCCCGCCAGCGCGTGGCCGTCCCAAGCCCTGTGCACGTCTCCAGCACCTCGAGCATCCCAGCGCCAAGTGCCAGACTCGGGCCTCGCCCACGCCCTGGTCCTCACACGCGGCTGAGTCCTGCTGACGGTCTTGGACCCCTGGGGCCTTCCGGGGCTGCCTACCATCCCGCCGCCACCACACTGCCTACTGCAGCCTCGCGCCGGCGGCCGGCTCTGGGCTGCCCCCGTCACAGTCCGTCCCACACGGTCTGGACTGTCACCGGGGCCTTCCACGGCGATCGTGGCGGGAAATGCCCTTGCAGGCCACTAACGAACCTCTGCCTCTGGGGCCGGGGCTGGAGTCCTTGGCGGGCTCCACTTCGTCGTACATCTCGTAGATCTCGTCCGGGTCCCTGCAGGGACACCCGGGATGAGCTCCCCTTCCGCCCACACCTGTGCCCGACCTCCCTTCCTCCCCACACTCACTGTGGGAATCGGTGAGCCTGTCGAGCCTGGAGGGCCTGCAAGTACGTCCCTGCGGAAGAGCGGGTCCTCCGCACGCCTGTGGGGACAGCACGAGGGGAGGGTAGCCCTGCCTTGGACCTCGGCCCCGCTTCACTGCCTGCGCTGCCCGCCCGACCCACCTGTGGCTGCTGCCGAGCGTCTCCGAAAGCTCTGGAGGTCCAGGGGGCCTGGGGGAAGCGGGGGCTTGGCTGGAGGCGGCCCCAGGCTGCTGGCTGGAGGCAGAGGCCTCCGAGGCGGTGGTTGGAGGTCCTCGGACTTCCAGCGGGGCGTCCCAGCAGCTCCACGCTGGCTGGCGCCCAGAACGGCAGCAGGCAGCGAGCTCTCGGACACCGAGCCGGGAAGCGGGCTTCTTTTAGGGAGACCCCGGAGTAGCTCAGGCTGCAGGTGTGTCTTGGGCAGAGCACGGGGCTCCGGCTGGGAGAACTTGCGAGGTGGCCTCCTGCACTCAGGCTGCGGGGCCTTCTGGGGGGGCAAGCTGAACTCGGGCTCTGAGGATGTTCTGGGGAGGCCCCCCGCCTCGGGCTGCGGGGCCTTTTTGGAAAGGGGCTTGAAGTCGGGCTGCCAGGTCCTCTTGGGGAGCACGCTGACTTGCGGCTCTGAGGACGTCCTAGTGAGGTCGCCGAAGTCGGGCTTCAGGGCCTTCCTGGGAAGTGCGCCGAAGCCTGGCTTCAGGGAGTGGGGCTCCTGCACCTCGGACTCGGGCTTTGAGGGGCACTGCCGAGGGACCTCGCTGAACTCAGGCTGCAGGAGGGACCTCTTGGGGGCAGCGCCAGCCTGTGGCTGCGGCGGCTTCCTGGGGCACACGCTGAACTCGGGCTGCAGGGGCTTCTTGGGCAAGGTGCCGATGTCTGGCTTTGGGGAGCGGGGGCGGGGCTCAGTGGCTCCTACCTTTGAGGGGGATATTTGGGGGACGTCGGTGCACTCAGGTTGTGGCGGGGACTTCCCAGGGAGACCACTGACCTGGAGCTGCGGGGGCTTCCTGGGGCACACATTGAACTCGGGCTGCAGGGGCTTCTTGGGCAAAGTGCCAAGCTCGTCCTGCGAGGACCTTGGGGGGCGCTCGCTGCCCTCGGGCTGCCAGGCTTTCTTGGGGAGAGCACTGGGTTTGGGTTCTGAGGGGGGCCTGGCAGGATTGCTGGGCTCAGGCTGTGGGGGCCCCCCCTGTGAGGCCTTCTGAGGGGCTTCGGGGGCCTCAGGCTTTGGGGGCTTCCTAGGAAAGAGAGTGGCCTCGAGCGGAGGACGTTTCCTGGAGAGATCGCTGAACTCAGGTTTGGGGGGCTTTGGGGGGAGATCAGTGAACTCGGGCTGGAGCAGCTTCTTGGGGGGACTGGCAAACTGGGGCTGCGGGGGCTGCTCCCCCAGCTCAGGCTGCGGGAACTTCTTCACAAGTTTGTTGACCTCCGGCTTCAGGGGTTTTTTGGGGAGCTCACTGGGTTCTGGCTGAGAGGCCTGGAACTTGGCTTGGAGGCTCCGGAAGTCCTGATGGCTCCCCTAGGCACACAGAGTGACAGGCGGGCTCGTGCAGTCAGTCGCAGACACGCCATCACCTCACCGCACTACGTCCTTGCTCAGACCACAGCGCTGCCCGCGCCCTGCCCCCGACCTCGCCCTCAGCCTGCCTCGCTTTTCGGCTGAGACCCCTTCCACCAGGCTCCTGGAAACCACACCCTTGGGACTGCTGTGTGTCGTCGGACCTCACCCCCAGCAGGACCCGATCTTGGGGCGCTTCTCTCCTCTGGGCCCCTGCAGATCTCCTCCCTGCATCCTCACCCCGCCCCACATCCCCCCAGTCCTTTCTGTTCCAGTTGCAAAATACATCCGGAATCCAACCACTTCTCGCTGCCTCCCCCGCCGCCACCCAGCTGGAGGAACCGGTCCCCTGCGCGGATTACGGTCACAGGCTCCTCTCCCGCCCGCTGTCCCTCAGTTCTCTCCACAGCAGCGCAAGAAGCCTGCTGAGCCCTGCTCACACCCTCCTAATGGCTCCCTGGAACAGCTCAGGAAGGCCCTAACCACCAAGCGTCTCCCTGTCCCCCTCACCCCCCACCCGGGACACATCCCCCACCACCTGTCTCTCTTCCTGCTCCCGCTCTGAGCCAGTATCTCCTTCACTGGAGAGGCCTTCGAGACAGCCTGGTTTAAATCCATGCCCTGTCCTCCCTGGCCTGTGCGATCGTTCTCATCATAGCTGCCACCAAACATCAAACTCCCTACTTACAGGTTCTTAACATGTCTTGACTGGTTTGTGGTTTTTTTGTTGTTGCTGTTTTGTCTTTTTGAGACAGGATCTCACTATGCAGTTCAGGGTGGCCTTGAACTCAACTGTGTAGCCCAGGCTGGCCCTGAACTCACAGGGTTCCTCTTGCCTCAGCCTCCTGAGTGCTGCAATCACAGGAGTGTGCTACCATGCCTGGCCTTGGTTTTTGTTTTTGGCACTGCGGGTGGAACTTGGGCCTTTGGGCAGGCCAGGCAAGCGCTCTGCCATTGAGCTACACCCCGGCCTCCTTGGGTTTTTAAAATTTGATTTTTCTCTGCATACATACACACGCAACCCCAGTCAGCTGCTACAGGGATGAGCCTCAGCTCATCCATTGCAGTATGCCAAATAGTAGAAGCTTAGTAAGCATTTACAGAAATAAAGACTACATAGGCAAGGTGTGGTGCTGTGTGCCTGTAATCCCAGCACTTGGGAGGCTGAGGCAGGAGACTAGCCTGAGCAACTTGGTGAATTTAAGGCCAGCCTGAACTACATAGTGAGAGACTGTCTCAAAAACAAGAACAGAAACAACCGAACAAAACCCAAAAACCCAAAGGCAGACCCTCAGTCTGACGGTCACAGATGCAGACCGGGAGACGATGTAGGCGCCAGGTCTCACATGGTCCCTGGCTCTCGAGCTGGCTCTCGTTTAGGAGGCTCATATTCAGCAACGTGAGGACCAGGAGGCAGCCCCCCCCCCCCACGGGCACCTGTCAGCCCACACAGCGCCAACGGCACATCCAGAATGTCCCAGGCGCCCTGGGAGCTGGCCGTGCGGCGAGGGTCACGGGTGCAGGCAGATGCGCACGGCCCGGCTGCCTGAGCGGCTGTCAGAGGGCAGGGCCCTGTGGCCCCTGCCCAGTCTGTGCCCTACTTTCCTGCCCACCCAGGGGGGCACAGGGTCCTGGCAAGGTGGTGACTGCTGCCTGGGGCCCAGTGTGCCTCTGGGTGGGTGAAGTCAGGGTTAGAAGGTCACCAGTTGGGCGCCTGGTGGGCAGGTCAGCGGGCGCATGACCCACTTCGTCATCCCCACAGGAAGCTTCGGCTCTCCCCAGGGCGGCCTCTTCCCAGGTTGCTGTTCTTGCTGCCCCGGGGAGAGGGGATCATCTCGGGCAGCGCCCCCTGTCCTCAGGGCCGGGCCTGGGTCTCAGGAGCTGCAGCTGAGCCCTGCCTGGGCTGTGCCCTGGCTGCGACCCACCTGGACACCGCCATGTGGGTCAGTCCCATTTCCCCAGCTGCCTTCCCAGCCCCTGCATCCGCCGCTGGGGCAGCCCCGTGTGTGCACCTGCTGTGCCCCTGGCTTCCAGGCCAGCCTGGCCTCTGTCCTCTTCCGGGCCGTGGGGACTCACCATGGCTGCGGGCGGGTGATGGGCCACGGGCTGAGTGGGCCCCTCGGAGCGAGCGTGCTGCCTTCAGGAAGTAACTGTGGCTTCTCCACTCAAGGTCGGGGCCGCCGTCAGGGTGGGGAGGGCAGCGGAGGAAGGGGAGGAGGCGGGGATGGAGACGGCCCTGGCCTGTCCACAGATCTTCAGGGCCCTTCTGTCCCCCTTGGGATCCCGTCCTTCCTGCTAGGGTCCCAGAGCTTTGGGCCTCCGTCTCTGGCCTCTACTTGTCACTACCTCCTTGACTCCCCTCACTGCGGAGCCAGGCCCGGCGCCCGGCCACGGAAGAGGCGGCCACAGCTCAGCAGGGAGGCCAGGACAGGCGTGGGGGCTGGCGGGACAGCGAGGCCCCATCTGCCTGCCCTGATTGCCCCACTGGTCTTCCTTGTTTCGACATCTCTAGCTCTCGGCAGGACTTCCCTGTTGGGGAGACACGTCCACCTGCCAGGACCGGGCCATGGCGGAGCACGGGCGGGGCTGCAGATCTGGGGGTGGGTGGACGGGGCATCCGAGGCCTCGCCCTGGAGGACAGCCCCAGTTCTCTGTGGTGAAAGGTAGAGAGGCCAAGCTGGGACGGGCACGGCGGGAGGAAGGCAGTGAGATAGGGTGGCCAGATCGGGGCGAGCCCTGACCGCAGGGCTCTGTCCACAGGAAATCAGTGGCCTTGGCCCCGGCAGGCGGAGGGAGAAGATACCCACGGGAGAGTGCGCAGCCCTGATTCTCTTTGGCCACACGTGGCCATCACCTGGGCCCTTCACAGCCAGATTCTGGTTTAACTGGTCTGAGTGTGGCCTCCGCAGTTAGACCTGGAGAGGGGGATGCCTACGCACAGCCAGACAGACTCACCAGCGGCCCCAGGAGTCACCTGAACAGGTTAAAGTGCCGGGCCTGATTCAGGTGATTCCTCAGACCCCAAGTGGGGTTCAGGCTGCTGGTGCCAGAGCCACAGATGACCCTCACAGCCAACTGGGTGAGGTCTCCTAACTATTTTTTTTATAGACAGGGGCTTGCTGTGTGGTCCAGGCTGGCCTTAAACACTACGGAGCCCCGGCAGTCCTTGAACTCGTGGCGATCCTCTTGTCTCAGCCTCCCGAGCGAGTGCTGGGATGAGAGGCATGCGCCACTATCCCAGGCTAAGTCTTCCTTTAAATAAGAGGTCCGGGGGATAAGGGGTCAGGCATGACCAGGTTTGGGTCCTTTGCGTTCCCAGGACCATGGTAATGCCGGGGAGGCGGTAAAAGAACACTTGTGAACTGGGTGTGGTCGCCTTGGCCCAGATCCCGCGCTTTGAGAGTGCAGGGCCGAGCCCTGGCCGCCAGGGGGCAGGTCCGCCTTCTTCCCTTTGTATATTTGGCGCCTTCCTGCAAGGCCCGCGCGGCCATGGGGGTGGCGGTGACCAGGCGGCTCCAACCGGAGTAGAGAACCAGAAGGCCGAGGCGTGAGCGCGGGCCGAGCCCCACGTCTCTTCTCCCAGCCACAGTTGGGGTCACTGAGCCGGCACCCCAGTGTCAAACTGCCGCGCGGTGGACGCGCACACCCGTGCGGTCTCTGGCACCCTCGGGCGCCCCCTGCCTGCGGAGCCGGCGCGAGGCCTCGGCGCTTTGGGCGGTCCGGGACTGGCCCGCAGGGGAGACGTCGCGGGGGTCCCCGCTTGGCCCGGGACTTGGGGGCAGTAAGGAATCCCAGGGACCAAGGCTGGACGTACGAGGAGGCGGTGAGCGGGAGGTGTTGGGAGGACAGGGTGTTAATGGAGGCGCTCTGCGAGGGGGCACCTAGCCGGGGCGCCCTGAGCCACCCGGGGCACGGCGGGCAGGGCGGGCAGGCGGCGGGCCTGCGGCCAGGCAGCTCTGGTTTGGAGGAGCCGGGATCGCCTCCTGCCCGCTCCAGAGAAGCCGAGGCGGTGTCGCACAGAAGGCCGCAGAGGACGAGGGAAACAGGGAGCGCGGCCGGGAGGGCATGGGGCTCCTGCGAGAACAGGGTCTTCATAGGGAGCGCCGTGGGCCCCTACTGTGCCGCCTGGGTTACTGGGAAGGTCCTTGTTCCCAGTGACGTTCACGTGCGGGGGATGGGCAGGCGGGGGTCCCAGAGGGGGAGACAGTCAAACCCTGGGGTAGGGGCGCGTGGGGCCAGAGGACAAAGGGAGAAGGTAAATCTGCCTCCAAGGGGTGTCCCGAACAGGGCCCGGAGCTTCCCGCGGAAGTGCCAGGGACAGCGGCTCGGCACTAGGTTCTGAAAGCACGATCCGGGCTGGCTTCCCACGATGCGGCAGAGGGAAACCCGGAGCGGGCCCAGGCGCCCAGGGCCGGCCGGCACCTCTCCGCCCTCCGGGGGCTCCTCCTCCCCTTGTGGCCCTGGGTCACCAGCTCCAGCCCCGTTCAGGGAACGGCCACCCACTGCGGCTAGACAGAGTGGCATGAGGTGGAGACCCGGGTCCCAGCGTCGAGGTGATGGGGTGTAAGTGCCTCGGGTCTGCCAGGCACCGGCTCGGTGCGCATCCGAAGAGGGCAAGGGACCCAGACACAGCACAGGCTGGCTTATCGCGCCTCCTTTATTGTCCCCTCCCAGTTACAAGGCTCTCCGCCCACCCAGCGCAATGGGGGTGCGGTTCAAAGCAGTGAGAACACCGGAAGCTCCCCCTCGGCCCTCAGCCGCGACACCTTGGGCACAAGCGGGGTCGGGTCTGAGTGGGGCAGGGCAGGGGGCGCCTGGGCGTCGGCCCCGCCCCCCGCCGCCGGC